CGCGATTTTCAGCAAAACGGTAAGTTTCATCATAACAATACTTCAGATAAAAATTGTAGACCATAAAATCATCTACAAAAAATGTATCAATACTTTTTTCCTACAAACCACCATTTTTGAGATATAACGATTCAAAAAGTTGTAAAAGTTGTAATTGTCATAATATACACACGTTTCCACGCCACCTATGAGGTAGTGTACTTAGCGTGTTTTTTTCAACGTGGTTTCCCCAGTTGCCCACACAGCACTAGATATTCATGGAATATTCCCTGTATATCATAAAACGAACGTATATATTCCAAATATTCATAGAATATTCTTGGAATATATACATGCCTTTAGAATATTCATAGAATATGCTTGAATGAATATGGCAGGATTATTCCCGAAAGAATGTGCATAGAATGTCTATAAATTGATTATTCTCCCTTGAATATTCTAAGAATATTGTCGATCGAATATACCATATGGNTAATAGCGGTTACTCGTCACATTCTTGGAATATTCCAAATATTCCTAGAATATTCATAAAATATATTTAAAGAATATTCTATGGTGTTTCTCTATTGTATATTCCTACAATAAACTAAGAATATCCTGAATATTTTATGAATATTCTTCGGGTTCTATTCCTGGAATATTCTTAATAGAATATACCTTAGATATTCTAAGAATATTATAAGATATTCCAAGAATATTCCCAAGAAATATTTTTGAAATATATCAAAGGTTCGCCAGGAGCACTTCCAGGGAATATTCTCCAGAAGATATATATATCCATAGCATATTCATAGCATAATACAATATCCCTAAGTGTATATTCATGAAATATACCTGGAATATATATTGCTATGTGGGTGGCCTATTCCACGGATCTGTTGTGATCCTGTTTAATTTGAAACTATTGCAAAATAATGGATATTAGCAGAGATTGAAAAGATAAAAGCAATTTAAGTTGAAAAAAAGTAGTGAAATTTGTTCGTCCGAGTAGTAACTTTCAAAATCTTCTTCTTTATCTTCTTGTTCTTGTTTTTCTCCATCCTCATCCTGAGTACATGTCAACTACGTTGATAGCGATGTATCGCATGTCGTTTCGTTGGAATCAAACGGATCCTCCACTGTCGGTGATTCAATATTAGAGCACGACCGGCCTTGACAATGTGTACATGCCAGAGAACAAAACAGTCCGGCTTATTTACAACCACATTTAGCACTGCACCACTTTTTGCAGCTGCAAAAATTGTATTCAGCAGTTTCTCCGGCCCAGGTGGAAGTAAAGTTTAGACTGGTTCTAATGAATTGTTGACCAACTTCTAACCCCAGTCTATAGGGTCTAGCTGATAACCAAGCCACAGTTGAAGTTGGTAATATACTCGAAAAAGGTGTTGATGAGCAGCAACTGAGGTTGAAGGAAGACAAGGTAATTGTACTTGCTTTTTTATTTTTGGTATTTTTAGCGCAACATGCATATCTTTGCTTATCTAAGCAGGTAGTTTTTTTTAGGAGCTCCGTACATAAAAAGAAGAAAGCCAATGCCGTTAGTGATAATTTCTTGTCGAGTTGAATTACTATTTTTAAAAACTTCAGCACATTGAACAACATTTTGCTTTTCAAACAGTTTGAAAACTGTTATTTTACCCCTCCTGTAAAATACAGATGTCGTATCACAGCCAGTTATTGCGTGTAAAAATAGTACATGATTTTGACACTTTGCAAAAGTAGATAAGCGTCTTGATGAATATATTTCCGTACTCATGCATATTATTACCATTACAACTTTTTGAATTGTTATATCTCAAAAACGGTGGTTCGTAGGAAAAAAAGTATTGATACATTTTTTGTAGATAATTTCATGGTCTACAATTTTTGTCTGAAGTAGTTTTATGATAAAACTCACCGTTTTACTGAAAATCGCGAAAAATAAATTTCTTTGACTTTGACCTTCAATACATTTTTTTCCATATAGGGGAAAGATGGGTAACTTTCAAATTTTATTTTCAATCATATTTTAAACAATCTTACTGACTTTCAGCTTGATGGGAATTTAGGTAGCTTTACTCTTTTTTTTTTTCTAATTTGACCGGACTACCTTCACCTTATGTCACTGCAATTCAATATCGGTTGCAAGAGGCACAATTTTTATCAGTTACATACATCTAATAAATTGGTTTCATTGTAATGATAAGACTGTTTCAATAGTAGGGGAGCCCAAGAGGGGATTTCGGATTTACTCGAGCACGACAGATAAACATACCTAGGAGGGGATACCGTGCATCCTGTTGAAGCCGTATAGGAATAGCTTCTGAAGTCTACGA